TTTTACTCTTGTTTTACTTTTCATTTGATACTGAAGAAGGCAATAGACTATAGAGGCACAGAACATTTAAATGACCACTAATCTTACCCATCTGCTTTTTATCTCGCCAGTTCTCATTTTCTCTAGGTTGTCGTTTCTAGTTTTGGTTGCATGACTAGCCAAGTCACTTTCCTTCGGGAATAGATGAGCTTTGAGATCCCTTCTGGCTTTCAGATTTTTATAAGTCTACTAGAGGCCCGATGCACGAAATTCGTGCAGGGGGCTCGGCCCTCGCAGCCCCTTGCGGCCCCTCTCAGCCTCGGCTGGCCCTCGTAGCCCCACCTTTGTCTGGAAGGTGGTCCGGACGGTCGTCCTGCTGTTCGGTCTAATTACCATATTAGCTCTTTATTATATGGGATATTTAATACAACTTCATCAGTGGATGGGCAGCCAGCACACTCGATCCTAAGGCTGGGTCTCTTCAGCAAAGCAGGCCCTCGGTTTTTAGAATTGTTCTGATTAGACTCTGGATTAAATCCAGTTATCATGATCAGTCTATACTCTATTGCTACTAGCATGAAGGTCAGGCTAACAAATGCTGCCTCGTTGGCCTCCATGGCTTAGCTTTGGTGGAGTCCTGGACTTACTAGTAATCATGAAGTGTAGCCTAGTCCAAACCCATGATGCTAACTTTCTAAGTGTGGTCTACTTTCAGGGTGTAATCACTGTTTTTGACTTTGCCCATGATATTTTTTAATAGCCTAGTTTATTTATTTATTATTATTAATATTACTATTTACATTTATCTTCATTGTTGAAAATATTACAGGCATCTCCCTTTTTTCCCCCATTGATCCCCTCCACCCTGCTTCTGCCCCCTCCCCAGGCCTTCGCTGCACTATTGTCTGTGTTGATTCATTTTGAATATTGCATATAAGTTCTTTAGTTAATTCCTTTCCCATCCCTCTCCCTTCCTTCTGAGATTCACCTATAGTCTTTTTATTCCTTTTTTAAAAAAAACTGTCTTAATTTTGAGTGCTCTTGCTGGTCTGACTTTGGCAATGTGGCTAAGTTGAAGGAATTTTGAACACATGTACAATTAAAATAACATCTATTTCTTTAGCATTTTTCAATTTGGCTCTGCTACACATTGAACAAGAAATAAACTGTTATTTGGTTTGTTTTTGGGTGATATTAGACTTTACAGCGACATGCCTGCCTAGTCAGTTTCATTGCCCTGACCATCGGTGTATTGACCTGGCTTATGTCTGTGATGGGGACAAGGACTGTGTTGACGGATCTGATGAGAATGGTTGTGGTAAGAGGATTGCTATCTTTTTATTCATGCTGTTTAGAAAAATTCCAGTCTCATTGAGCTGATTTCTAATGCTTTCTTTCTTTCATTCTTAGTAATTAATTGCACTGCTTCTCAATTCAAATGTGCCAGTGAGAATAAGTGTATTAGCAACGTATATCATTGTGATGGTGTTTTTGACTGCAGCGACCACTCTGATGAGAAAGACTGTCGTAAGTACCATAGACCCAGCATGTTTCAGATAAAGGAATCACTTCATTCTTTTTTCTTTTTAATTGTATTTTTTTTATTGCTTAAAGTATTACAAAAGGTAATATGTGTCCGTCCTTTTTTTTTTCTCCACCCTTGACAATCCCCTGGCTTCCCCTACCCCCCCACGTCTTAGTCCATTGGTTATGCTTATATGCATGCATAAAAGTACTGCGGTTGATCTTTTACA